CTTAAAATATCTAAGAGTTAGTTTTCTTTATAAACGGATATATGCAAGGTTTTTCGGTGGAGAAGCAATAAATTCCCTTATTGTGTATAATTTTTTTATATATGATTCATTTGTCTCAATACAATTGTTTATGAAACTTCTCTAAAAGTAATTTTAAGGCGTAAAGGTGTAAAGAGACAGCGATTGGTGTATATTTCAACCTAAGCAACTAATGATCTGGTTTTTAAATCTTAATGAATGGTTTAATTTGTTGCTGTAGAAAGAATAGCAGCAACTAGCATAAGATATGTGCCCGCGAGTCCAGTGTGTTGTTGATTAGTTGGGTATGATTAATGATCAGAAGATTCAAACTGTGTTATATTAATATCACCGCAATATGATGGATCGTCAACGTCGTCTACAGAAATGGGGAAAATAATGGTTGAGTCTTAAACTGAAATGTCAGATTTACGTTATCCGACGGGCGGCTTGAGAATGGTACTTGCTTGTGTATGCGACATTAGACATTTAAAAACTTTCAGTTACCTACACACTGCAAATCACAGCACGCATATTTAAATGAGTCTTGATATCCTATTTTAGAAATGGAGGCGGCAGCAAGGACGGCTACAATAAAGGTAAAATAAAAGCAAGCCATATTGCAACAAATAAATGAGTAAAGTATAAATCAATTCATTTACTACTTACAATTCTTAACTGCGTTTACGTAAAATAAAATACTGTATGACTAGCATTTCCATAGAGCATTGAATCGAATGTATCAATTAAAACGGGTTTGTATAGAAATTTTACATTTTCGATTCTCAATGCTGTCAATTTTGCAGTTAAGGAAGTCAAAGGATGCGGAAATTTTTATATANCGAATGTATCAATTAAAACGGGTTTGTATAGAAATTTTACATTTTCGATTTTCAATGCTGTCAACTTTGCAGTTAAGGAAGTCAAAAGGATGCGGAAATTTTTATATTGTTTNTACAATTCTTAACTGCGTTTACGTAAAATAAAATACTGTATGACTAGCATTTCCATAGAGCATTGAATCGAATGTATCAATTAAAACGGGTTTGTATAGAAATTTTACATTTTCGATTCTCAATGCTGTCAATTTTGCAGTTAAGGAAGTCAAAGGATGCGGAAATTTTTATATATTTTTTTTGTAGTCAATTCCAATAATTAAAATTCTTTACAACGTGTGTGTCAGATTTGCGAATATGGTATATTGTGAAAAATTTTATTATAAGGCATTAAATTTGATGAAATAATGTTTATTTTGGGTTGAATATCATGGTATTAATTTTTAAGTGTTTGTAATAAGGTTTCAAACTTCAACAGTTTTTAAAATGGGAAAAATGGTAAAACTGCTTTCCATTTGAAAGTTATTATTCAAAACAAAATATAATCTGTTTTTTAATATCACATCTTACGAAAACCTCCCAGTATCTCAAATGCTTTTTCTTGAACTGAAAGCCACTTATTACCCAATTTCTATTCACACATGAAGAGTATGAACAAATCACGTTAAAAGATGTATGAAAAGGGNTGAATATCATGGTATTAATTTTTAAGTGTTTGTAATAAGGTTTCAAACTTGAACAGTTTTTAAAATGGGAAAAATGGTAAAACTGCTTTCCATTTGAAAGTTATTATTCAAAACAAAATATATATTTTTTAATCTCACATCTTACGAAAAACTCCCAGTATCACAAATGCTTTTTCTTGAACTGAAAGCCACTTATTACCCAATTTCTATTCACACATGAAGAGTATGAACAAATCACAAGATGTATGAAAAGGGTGAATTGTTTAAAATTAGTGTTTCGAAGCGTGATGTACATATATTCACAAAAAAGAACCTGAAATACGCCTTACTAAATTTTACGAACAACAATACTATATTTTTAACCGACTTCAAAAAAAGGAGAAGGTTTTCAAGTCGTCGGATTTTTTTTTATGCATAACTTATGGCCACGTCAGCCGATTTCGATAATTCGTTTTCAGTCAGAAAGTTTTTCAGTTCAGAAAGATAGTCTGACAGGTTCTGCAACTCACTTCCGAGTGAATTTTAATCTAACTCGCTTTGAATTCAAATTGGCAAGGGTTGAAATTCACTAGGAAATGAATTACAGAATCTGCCTGAGTGTCTCACAGGTGGTCCCATACAATTTGGTTTAGATCCGATCATTGGACCATGAATAAATTAACGGTACTCCTAAATTTTTATATGAGAATTGAGTCGGTTGTGTTTTTTGCTTAAAATTTACNAAAAAAGGAGAAGGTTTTCAAGTCGTCGGATTTTTTTTTATGCATAACTTTTGGCCACGTCAGCCGATTTCGATAATTCTTTTCAGTCAGAAAGTTTTCTGCTCAGAAAGGTAGTCTGACATGTTCTGCAATTCACTTCCGAGTGAATTTTAATCTAACTCGCTTTGAATTCAAATTGGCAAGGGTTGAAATTCACTAGGAAATGAATTACAGAACCTGCCTGAGTGTCTCACAGGTGGTCCCATACTAATTTGGTTTAGATCCGATCATTGGATCATGAATAAATTAACGGTACTCCTAAATTTTTATATGAGAATTGAGTCGGTTGTGTTTTTTGCTTAAAATTTACTTGTTGGTACATATATCTGAGCTTTTATATAAGAGGGTACCCGAAATTAAATGTGAATCACACTCTGCTCTTCGTTTATGTTTCAATTGTGTTTCTTGAAGGTCAAACACTCTCTCATATTTTCCAATCATCGTATAGTACGTTAAAATAATGGTTAAAAGTAGCTTACAAAAATCTAGTCTTAAATTCCACATTTCATAGTTGAACAAAAAAAAAACGTATGAAGTCAGAACATTGCTAACATCTATGCATAATTTTAGGCGGGTTTGGTGCCGGCGGCAGCGGCGGTGGTGGTGGTGGCGAAATGGTTACGCAAGAAGATACAATTTTTGTCTCTGGTATGGATCCCTCAACCGATGAATTGGCCATCGAAACCCATTTCGGTGCGATCGGCATTATAAAGGTAGGTTTCCAAATTGTCTGTTTCATCATTATATAAATTTATTTATGAACAAAATCGTTTTATGTTTTAAAATTGATTTAAATTGCAGAAAGATAAGAGGACAATGAAGCCTAAAATTTGGTTGTACAAGCACAAAGACACCGGGCTCTCTAAAGGGGAAGCTACTGTAACCTATGATGATACTAATGCTGCCCAGTCGGCGATCGCTTGGTTTGATGGACGCGATTTCAATGGCTGCTCGATTAAAGTTTCTTTAGCACAGCGCCAAAATAATTGGAAAGGAGGTCGCGGTGGTGGTAGCGGCGGCGGTGGTGGTTTTGGTGGTCGTGGCNTCGGCATTATAAAGGTAGGTTTCCAAATTGTCTGTTTCATCATTATATAATGCTATTTATAAACAAAATCGTTTTATTTTTTAAAATTGATTTAAATTGCAGAAAGATAAGAGGACAATGAAGCCTAAAATTTGGTTGTACAAGCACAAAGACACCGGGCTCTCTAAAGGGGAAGCTACTGTAACCTATGATGATACTAATGCTGCCCAGTCGGCGATCGCTTGGTTTGATGGACGCGATTTCAATGGCTGCTCGATTAAAGTTTCTTTGGCACAGCGCCAAAATAATTGGAAAGGAGGTCGCGGTGGTGGTAGCGGCGGCGGTGGTGGTTTTGGTGGTCGTGGCGGACCCGGTGGTGGTCGTGGTGGAGGCGGCGGCGGCCGATTTGATCGCGGTGGTGGCGGCGGCGGTGGACCGGGTGGGGATTACGATTCGGGACGAGGCGGTGGCGGCGGCGATCGTGGAGGTCGTGGCAGAATGGGTGGTGGCGGCGGTGGAGCCGGTGGCGGTGGTGGCGGTAATGTACCACAACGCGAAGGTGATTGGAAGTGCAGCAGTTGCAATAATACGAACTTTGCTTGGCGTAACGAATGCAATAGGTAGGTTTATAGCGGTGCTTGACGTCGAAATAAATCTAAAGTAATATACATTTTATTTTGTAGATGCAAGGAGCCGAAAGGCGATGCAGGAAATGAAAGCGGTGGCGGCGGGGGCGGTTACAGCAGTGGAGGTGGCGGTTATGGTGGCGGTGGTGGAGGTGGCTTCGGCAGCGATCGCGGCAGTGGTGGTGGCGGTTATGGCAGTGATCGTGGTGGTGGCGGCGGTGGCTATGGAAATAGAGACCGCGGAAGTGGTGGTGGCGCCGGTGGTGGTGGGGGCTTCAACCGTTTTGGTGGTGGTGGACGCGGTGGTGGTGGCGGCGGAGGAGGCCGTGGAATGGGCGGCGGTCGTCGCGATGGCGGTGGTGGTGGTGGCCCTGCTAGAGGAGACGGTGGCAATCGGCCTAGACCCTATTAACTGTCGTTTGGTTCGTTTACCGGTTTTACGTTATATGTGTATTTAACTTTAGAAAACATTTTTTTAAGTAAAGCGAATATGTTGTAAAATGATCATAATTACATATTACAGCTACACTCAAATATCAACAGTTTGTAAAGAAAGTATGGAACATGTATTAAAAAGTATAATGACGAATGTATATTACGATATACCAATTACTTTCCAAATAAACAATCGTCGGAATGTTTTAATTTCAATGACAAAATAATATATGTATATATATTTTTT